TGGCTTAGCTGTCTGTTGCTGAAGTTAGTTCCTTCAATGCCATCTCTCTGGTCATTTGACCACACAGAACTTTTCTTTTCTTTTTTTTTTTTTCACAAATGTCCTAAATACCCAAGGGCTTGATGGCTTTGTACATTTAACTTAAAAGATAAAGAAGTTTCCAGAATGACTGTAGTAAATAGCATAAGAAAAGCAAGAACAGATTTTGTTCCAAGATTATAAGTGCAATGAATAGAAGATGAACTTATAAGGAAGAATATCCATCCTGGCACCCGTCCCTATCAGCCACTGTCTCTGGCTGGAGCCACCAATGAAAACAGTACAAGGAAAGTTTATTATCCCCAAGGGGAATATTTGCATGATGCGTAGTGCTGTGTACTTCCTACAAAAATAATAACATCATGTCACATAGGTTTGTTATGAGCAGTGTGATAGGAGATAGTTCTATTTATGATTCTTGAAAACTAAAATAAAACGAGTAAGCCTTAATGTTTTTAGATTTGAAACATGTTTTATTATTTTGCTACATTTCTTTCAATTGCATATTTGTTCTATAAGAAAACCTAAAAATAGCATTAGTATCAAGTACACAGATGGTTCTGGCATTGTCAGGAGAGGCAGGATGGGAGGACATGGGTTACTTGTGCAAGGGTCTGCCTTCTAATCACTTCCCTGTTCAACCTTAGCACTTAAGGAAGGTCAGGTTATATTTAATCCATTTTGGTCATTACTGGAGTGTTGGCAGTGTTGAATAGGAAGACAAAATTACACAAAAAGTTTTTTTGAGAGCTGGTAAATCAATACAAAATATCTTCAATGGGATAAAGTTCAAAATGACACATGGTGGGGATGGGAGGATAGGCTCCAAAGAGTACACATCGAATTCCTTATAGCTGTGGCACTGGGAAAATTGTGAACTTGAGATGCTTTCTGTACATGTATCAAAAGAGAAGCAGGCAGACAGAGAGCAATGGGACTCAAGTGAAAACCCAGGCACCCATGATTTCCTTGGTGTTCCAGGTAATTATCTGGGGCTGCATAATGAAATGATGAAAAGCCACTAGAGGCGCTACCCGAATTCCGTAGGACTGGGGGGTGAAAAGTCATTGCAGCAAGTTCTCTAAGTGTGGAAACCTTCACAAGAGACAAATGGCTCTGCTCCTCCTCATCCCCTTCCTCAAACCCCTAGCTTAGGGCTGCTCTTTACCATCATCCTTCTGAACTCTGGCACATCTCTCTCCAGTTCTTTCTCAAGAGCCGCAGCTCACCCTCTCTTTTGGTTGGCTGGATGTCCACTTGGGTGCCCGCTAGTTTACTTAGTGTAATTGCTACATAAAATTCATTCCCACAAAACCAGCTTGCCCTATCTCCCTGGGTTCTCTACATCTGGAGCCATTTAAAAAGTGTTTTTTGAACAGGTAGTACATTCACATGTTTAAATATATGTGTGTGTCTGTGTTTATTTATATGTGAAAACCCTTTTTTTACTATACAGCCAATTCTGACCACTTGCAAGAAAATTCTAGAGTTTCTTCTTGAACATACAAAAGTGAATATAAATTTCCTCCCCTTTTATTCATGCTTTTCTGAACCATGTGTTCTGATTCTCTATTGTTATAGAGAACTTAGGGTTTATACCAATTTGTTATTGTCCTGCATAGTTTGGCGTGTTGATGGCTTAGCTGAGTAGGTGTTGCTCAGGCTTTTCAAGTATGGTTACAAATGTCTGCTTGTACAGAAGTTGTCTGAAGGCTTTGCTGGGCTGGGAGTCCTAAATGGCTTACGAGTGCCAAGCAATGGATGCTGTTGCGTAGTGGGAACTCAGCAGCCACAGCACTTTCCACATGGACCTCCCCACATGGCTTAGGTTTCTCACAGCAAGGAGGCTGGGTTCTGAGTGGGTATATCCCAAGAACAAGCGTTCCAAGAGAGCAGGAAGTAGAAGCTGCCAGGCCTAGTAAGGGCTATTTACAGAACTGATGAAGTCATCTGTATGTATTTGATGGGCCAGAGCATTCACAAGGCTCAAATTCAAGGAGATGGAGAAACAAAGTCCATGCCTCTATGGAGGAGTGACATGATCACATTGCAGAAGAACTTGGGCCATAAGGAGATGCTGTAGTGCTCCTTTTTGGAAAATATGAAGTTTGTAGTCTTCCCACCCTTCTTTCGTACTGTCTAACATTTAACCTTCATTTCTGTTTCCACTACCACAACTATTTTAGGCACTCATGACTTGTGAGTAAGTTCACTGTTAAAGCTATCTTTCTGCTCTCCAATTTCCTGTTACTGCCAATAGCCAATAAAATTTGTGTTTCCACAGAGCCAGGCATGGTGGTACATGCCTGCAATCCCAGTACTTTTGAGAGTCTGAGGCAGAAAGATATTGAGTTCCAGGCCAGCCTGGGCTACATAGCAAGACTCTGATTCAAAAAAAAGAACAAAATTGTGTGTTCTCAACACTTGATTCAGCATTGATGATATGGTTCTCCTAGGTAAAAATCAGCTCTGTATACCAATCTTTAGGAAAAGTCACAAACTGCTGGCCAGTTGTCTTATTTGGTCTTTGTGGGCATTGTATAAACTGTATTTACATTTTTAATGCTTAGGATGTTGCAAAATCAGGATATTTTCTATAAAAATCCAGGTTAAGTTCCATTTGAAAAAACTAAATTTCTATATATGGAAACATTTAATTATTCAACTAATGTGTTTTACATCTTAAACGTACTCAAAGAAAAAGGAAAAAATCCTGCTCTTTGGAGGTATAATTCTACTTATAGGGAGGCAGACAATAGACAAAATGAATAAGTAGAATATATAGAACTTATATAGAAATGTATAGGCTATAGGGAGGGCTAGGGAATGACAGACACAGGAGCGGATGGGAAGGGCTGCAATTTTAAACTACATGGTTATGGAAGGTCCTACTGAAATGGTGACATTTGATGTTAGACATGGAATGAGTTAAGCAAGAGAAATATGGATTTCTAGAATGGTGCTGTGCCATATTGGGTAGCCACTAGCCATATGCTTGCTATCTAAATTTATATAATTAAAATTTTAAAAAGTTACAAATTCAGCTCTTCAGTCACACTACCACATTTCAAATGCTCGGTAGCCACGTGTGGCAAATGGCTGTGAATCAGATATAGGACATTTCCATCAGTATTAGCAAGTGCTGTTGGATGGGACTGCAGGAGGGTGGGGGGTACAGTCAGAAGGTAAAAGTGCAGCGTGGCTGGGATGTCTTTGATCTGAAGCGGTGACATGGCCCTTTTGTTTACACATTCCTGCTCTTCCTATTGTCTGCCTATTTTTGTACTGAGGATACATAGCCTTTGTCATATGTCACCTTAACCTAAGGCAACTTTCTAAAGGCCCTTTCTGATGCTGAGTTTTGGACAGTTGGCCAATGCCATAGAATCTATGGAACAAAGTCCAAACTTCTTGGCCTTGCATTGAAGACCAAGAACCTGTACTAGGAGACACAATTGTATTGTGTTTGGCACAGTATAGGTTCAAAGAACATTCTTAGGATGAAGGTGATATGGCATAAACACCCTCCCATCAGAGTGAATGTTCACCAGAAATGTCTATAGGGACTCTGGTGGACTGTGTGTCAACCCTCCAGTTGGTGTATAATGGGGAGTTTGAAGTATGGGGTATTTAAGACACTGTTTTAACACTATAAAAATGGATACAGTTTGACATGGCACATAGAAGTGGGATTTCAGCCTTGGATAAATATACATAATAGGTATTTGGAAACTAACAGACTATAGAGTTTATTAAAGAGTCCTTTCCAGGAAATACACATAACTGAATGTGACAGGATTTAAGGCCTTCTGTAGTGTGTTACTGACAGCCATTCCTCTATTTTCTCCCATTTTTTAAATTATGCTATCCCTCCCTCCCACCAGCATGATGTAGAGTCTCAATGTCCAATGTCAATAGGTAATGCCAACTTGGGGTTGTCGCATTTTTTTCTTTTTACTGGTAGGACCCTTACTCTCCTTCTGCCTAGTTGAATATTCCCCCCTTAGCCTTAAGGCACAGTTCAAACTTCTTTCCCCTTCATTGGTTTACCTTTGCCCATCCCAGGCCAGGAGTACTTACTCATTATCCACATAACTTGCAATAGCTTTGTTTTTCTATATGTTTATCTACAGACACTTGACCAAATATTTATTCCTTAAGGGCAGAGAGCACAGATCACTATTCCTTTTTCCTTATCTGGTCTCATTTCCTTATTTACCTGCCAAGCATCTATTTTATGACAGGCTGTGGCACCATGGGAAGGCAGCTCAAGGTCCTGACTTCATATAATCCTTACTTGTCACTTAAAAAATTTTAAACATGAAGCAGCTTATTCAACTCTTCCCAGTCAGAGGCAAAAACGAGGACTCCAGTGTCCTACTGGTGAAGAGTAAAGGCCCTAGGTGGCCCTTGTTGAAGGCGGATGGAGCTGGGACATGGAGAATCACAGCCCCTTGGAGTTTGAGGTTTCATTGTCAGTGCTCCACAATTCCTACCTCCTGGAACGGTGCAAACAATGATTCACACCACCTGTAAGCCTTTACAACAGTTTACCAAGCACATTCATCACACAGAGCAGGTCTTAGGGGAGGTCAGGTTCCAACATGTTAACAGAGATTCACCTTCGGGTCACCAGACTTGCACCTACTTTGCTAAACACCTACCATAACCAACAAAAGTTTACTCCACTCATCCTTTCATGAAGAGAGGGCCAACAAGGGCCAGCGCAGCGCAACTGTGTCCCATGGCACTTCTTTTTAGCAGAATGCAGAGCCTATTTTTGAAGTTCCTTGGGCAAAAACAGTTCTAGGAATAAAGATGACTATGTGGGGCAAGGCTGTGCAAAAATCCCTCGAGGTTGGAGGACTTTGCTCACTTGGTAGATGTCCAGGTCAAGCCTGGCAGTTGGGGAAAGGGAAGTGAAACGTGACTTTTGAGCCTAAAGGGAATGGTGGCAGGCGATGAGCCGGAGTGGGGTTGGTGGAGGATTCCGGGCACAGCGCCGGTGCCCTCGGGCAGGTACCTCCGGGGCTGGGGTCCGGAGTGGGACAGTCGGAGGGCCAGGTCTGCAGGCGGAGGTGAGCGGCGCGAGAGGCGGGGCGGGGCGGGGAGGGGCGGGGCCGGGCGCACCTGGGCGGGGAGGGGGAGGCGCGCGGGGCTGAGCCTCGCGGGGGCCGCGGCGCGCGCCAATGGGCAGCGGCTGGCAGCGCGGCCCGCGCCCGAGCCGCAGTCGCGCCCTCTCGCTGCCTGGCGAAGGCGCGGACGGCGCGCGGAGGCGAGCGCGGAGGAGAGGAGCCGCGGGCGCCGCAGCCGCCGTCAGGGCATGAGGATGGCCGTGGGCTCCGTCAAGATGCAGCCGCCGTGCGAGAGCCCGGCCCTGGCCGCGGCGGCGGCGGTGGCGGCGACGGACGGCGCCCTGCGCCGCAGCCCCAGCGCCCACGAGCCCGATCGTGAGCAAGCCGCGGCGTCGCTGCGGCCGCGGCTGAGGGACCTGCCGGCGCTGCTGCGGAGCGGGCTCACGCTGCGGAGGAAGCGGAGCGCAGCTGGGGGCCGGGTGAGTGGCCCAGCCGAAGCAGAGCGGAGCGGAGCGGGCACGGGCGGCGTGCACGTGGTGCCCGCGCCCACCCGCCGGGGCCGCTCTGGGGTGCCGTCTGGAAGTTGGGGAGGTGGCGGAAGGGGCGCCCATGTGCTGGACTGAGGATGGACCCGGGACCGCAGGGCTTGGGTGTCCCCTCGGTGAGCGACTTCCCCTCCCCCTCCCTCCCCAGATGCACCTGACTTAACCCAAAGGGCACCTGGACCCAGGCATCGCAGGGCTGTTTGCTGCTTCTCGGAGAGGAAGCTGCAGGTGTCCGGTGCCTAGCAGGCAGCCAACCCGATCCGACAGCAAGCCTCAGGCCCCACAAGAGGGATCCCATATTGCAGGCGCCTGAAACGTGTGTGATTGATTTGGACGTCCCGTTGCAAGCTCTGGGCATCGGGACTTCCTCTGGCAGCCGCCACTGCTGAGGGCGAGACCTAGGAGTTGGAAGTTCCTGGCTGAGCTTCTAGTTCCTGGGTTCTGGCGCCTACAGCACTTAGTACTCCAGGACGCCCCTTTGAGCAGGAGAGTGCACGCCCCCCGGAATCTCAAATATTGACTTCCTGATGGTGTGTTCAGATATGATTTCCTGCTGAAGGAGTCCCCCTCATTGTGTTCTAAGTGCATCTAATGACCTGAGCAGGTCAGACATGTTTTGTGTGTTAAGAGAAGCGGGAAAGGCCTGCTCATTGTCCCCTGAGGTCTTTAAAGCAGTAGGAGGTTCTACCAGGGCGTCAGGACACCAGGCAGACTTCCCTGCTCACCTGGGCTTGGGGGCACTTTTGGTGGGTCGTCATTGTTTTTAACAATTCTTCTTTAATTAGTCTTTACTGAGAAGTTGCAACAATGTAGGTAATTATTTGTTATAATTTAAAACCTCAAGTCTCTTAGTTGTCCACTTCAGAAGAAGATCTTAGTGAGAGACTTTTAGCACTTTACAACGTGGGTTTGTGGAAAGTTGAGGGTGGGCAGGTGTACTGGTTTTGGTGTGGCTTCCTTGGGGTGCGGGAGAATCTGAATTGATGGAGCCTTTCAGGTTCTCTAGGCTGCGTCCTCCTTTCCTTGGCATTTTCTTCCCGTTTAGGACTGCCCATGGCTCACCTCAGAAGGATGTTCTGATTAGCTGGATTGGTAATCCAGAAGAGTTTTGAAACTGCCCCACAGGTGACCTTAAGGTGTGGCGGTTATAGGATTGCCTGCAAAAAAAGCCAGGAAATGTGTCCCCAAGATGTGATGACTAAATAAACACAAGAACGAGAGTTACAGACTTTGCAAGAATCTAGGAAAAAGTAGGTCAAATTGGGTTCCTATTATCCTTGACAGTTACCTTTTCATGGCATGGAATACTGAAGACATGAGGACAGCCAGGCAGTCTGTGACAAGAATTGCTGAGGGTTTCTGTATAAATAGATCTGTACTGTTCATCTACCGGGAGACTTCTGTTTCTTGCTGCCCGGGATCATGCTGTGCGCCTTGCTTATATACATGTTTACTCTTATTTTCTTAATTATTCTGAATGGTTCCTTCAAATAACATACAACTTTATTAACTCTTTTTGGATTCTAATACTATATTAGTTCTTTTAGAAACTTCAGTGAATGGCCATTTTTTTTAAATTGAGGAAAGATTGTCAGATTCTCCTGGGTTGGAAACCCATAATTTTCCATTATTTCCCCCTCCTTCTATTTTGGAACTTCTGTTGTGTTTTTGGAACCTTCACCATCAGAGGGGTAAGAAGGAATTTGAAAGAGAGAAAAATAAGTGAAATGTGTACCTGTATTAGGCAACTCAAGCTGCCATAACAAAATATGATGGATTAGATGGCCTAAACAACAGAAATTAATTGTCTCGTGGTTCTGGAAGTTGAAAAGTCCAAGATTGATGTGTAGATTGATTTCATTTCTGGAGATGGTTCTCTGCTTGACTTGCATATGTCCGCTTTTTTGCTCTTGTTCCTCAGACCTTTCCTCAGTGTACTTCAGAGGAAGTGTGATTTTTCATTTCCTCTTCTTAGTAGGTCACCAATCCTTTCATGAGGGCCCCACCCTCATAACACAATCCTATCCTAAATACTTCCAAAGTCACCATCTTCAAATATCATTATGATGAAATTAACATTTAAGTTAATGTTTATTAATTTAAATTAATGTTTATTAATCTAAATTAATTTAAATTGGTGAATTTAACATTTAAATTTTGTGAAGAACACAAACCTTCAGCCTGTGATAGAAGGGGTTTGAGAGGAGAGAAACAGGTAAAATAGGTTCCAGGTGAATTAGCTGGCGACTTGGGAGCATCTGAGATTAGATGAGTAACACTTCCCCTCCACCCCCACCCCGTGGTTAGAGTGGTAATGCTAGTGCAAAACAATCATGGCTTAGATTCTTTTGTGGACTTCTGGGTTTGTGTTCAATGGGTTGGCACTGCTTCATATTGGAGCTGAGTGAAATCGGGCCAGGTTAACAGAAATTCATTACTACTGTAAAGAAGCAGCTCTGACCCTTACACAAGTTGGGAAATCAGTGTGCAACTCTTACACTGACTAAAAACTAATTTAGGAATATGTGTGGCTCTTGTCTGTGCTGCCTTTGGCTCCTGTGAATCTGGACAATCTGACACCAACTTGGTTCTTTGCAGGTGTGTTGGTTACCACAGGTGCATTACAGGCTGTCTTTCTGGGGTAAATTAAGGTGTCATTTGGTTAATAAAGCAGAGTTTCTTGGTTCCTTCTAATGCTATTGTGAACTAGGATTGTGAATCCTAGTCACCACATGTACTGATTAAGATAGCACCTTTTTTGGACAAATGGGGAAGAACTAAGTTTTGCTTTGTGGGGAGATCTGAGCCACCTCTTAGTAATCAGTCGCAAGGAAAGGCACAGCTTGAATTCCCACCCAAACCCTTTAAAAAACCCTTTTTAAAAAAAAGTACCTAATGGAGATTTAGAGCATGGTATAATAAATCCCCACGTTTAAGGAGTTAACATTTTGCCAATCTTCTTTCATTTATTTTTCCTTTCTCTACTTTTTTTTGATGAGGGCTGGTGTGTTTTAAAGCAAAATCCTAAACATCATGTCATCTCACAAAAGTTTCAGTTTACATCGTTTATAAGGACATTAAACAAACAAACAAACAAAAAAAACAAATGAAACTTCTGTGCTTTTTTCACACCCAAGAATATTAACAATTCCTTAATATAATTCCCATGTTCCGGTTTTCTCTTATGATTGTTGGAATCAGGAACCAAATGCAACCCACATGCTACATTTGGTCATTAGGCTTTTAAAACTATTTTATAACAGTCCCCACCCTTCTTTTATCATATTAGAAACAAGATACAGAGTTAGATATCAGTTGAATAGATTCAGGTTCAAGGCAAGTATCCTTTGTACTTTGTAAAATCTGTTGCATCTCATCATGAAATCCATAATGTCTGGATGGCTCTCTTTTGGAGAAATTAAGACTGATTAGTGGGTTTAGGTAATATCACTTTACCTTTCTACCTTTCACCTAATGATTTTACCTTCATAGATGGTTGTAGCATATCTACTTCATTAGGGGATACAAATAGTGATAATCTAAGTCTACCAGTACTCTTACATTTAGTAACTGGAATACTGTCTATGAAGAATTTTGCCTCACCAATTATTTGAGCTTCCCAAAATTCAGATTACATAGAAAAGATAGTGAAAGACCTAACTTTATTCCTTTCATCAATTTTCAGAGTACTGTTTGATGCTCTAACAACCTCCAGTGATTACCAATGATTTTTTTTTAAAGTATCATTAAGAATTTGTGAATTTTTCATTTTTGACATAGTGTCTAACTGTATATCCCAGACTGGCCTTGACTTATGTAGCTTATGTTGACCTCCAACTAACTATAGCCCAGGTGACTTCAAACTCCCAATCTTCCTGCCTCAACCTCCCTCATATTGAAGTTACAGGCTGGCACCACCATGCCCAGCATGAATTTATGGATCTTAATATACTGTCACATTGTAGTAAATATTCTTTTTTGACACTCGGTTTGTTCTTGTCTCCTGTATATGTTTTACATGACCTCAGTAAATCTTACTTTCTGGCAGGAGATATTCCAAGCTGATCTTGGCCATTTACTGCTCCATACCTGAAGGTGACCATTTGTTCAAGGAGCACTGATTATTTTTACTGAACAGCAGTTCATTTTCCCTGACTTTTGCCTCACTTAGTGGCTGCATTACTTTTGCCTTGGTCTTATGGCTCCTACTTTAATTTTTTATTTTTTAATCCTCCTCATTGGACTATTTCTAAGACTGACATTTCCCCCTTAATAAAACAGCTATAGATAGCCATTCCCTCTTTCTATATATGCTGTCCAAATGCTGGGACTGACTTATTTTGGTGGTTGTTGCTGAGATGTTTTTCACAGTGCTCTGCTACTGCCTTAATTTTCTTGAAATATGTTTCAGTTACAGCAAACAGATGATTCACCAGTTGTGCCAAATAGACTGTTTGCCACAGTCCTCTGGTGATTCTCAGCTTTTGGATTAGACATCGGAAGGGAGGGTGGCTATCTTCCGTCCTGTGACCCCCTTCTCTTTGCCATCTTCTCTTTGCCATCTTTGCCACAGTGGCCCTGTGGCAGGTGCACTTCAAAATGGAGACACCGGGAAGAACAGCTGGTGGTCCTCAGAAGGAGGCTCTATTTTCATGTCCTGTTCCTCCCCCTCCCAGAACTTCCTGTCAAAGAGGGACAAAGTGACCTTTCCCTCTGAACAAGCCAGAGCACTGTGGGTGTGACTCAATGCCTTCCTCCACCAGAAACTTGACTTTGCTGATTGAGACATCCACACTGCTCCAGCTTCTACCAGTGTGCCCAATTTATACTCATTTCCAACATGTACTTTATAGGCAAGGCATGATTTGTTCTTTGTATTTAAATTAAAATTAATGGCTAACATGTCATAGCAGTGAATAATGTGCCAGGCCTGT